AGGAATCTTGTCATTTCAAATCCAGTGGACAGAGATCCCCGGACCGCCATGAGGACAGGACAAGAAGTAAAGGGCCGAGTGTGCAGCCAGGGAGATGCAGATTAGAGATGAGAGGAAAGTTTCTAACTCACAAGGCAGTGAAGTCCTAGACCAGGTTCAAGTGGGTTGTGGAGTCCCCTTCCCCCTTGGACTGGAGTCTGGAGTCACTAGGGGTACGTCTACACTGCAGGCTTATTTCGGAATAAGCTCTTCCGGAAGAAATACTCCGAAATAGCTCATTTCCACATAGCGCATCGATACTGCGGGGAAGCCTTGAAATGAGTCCAAGGCCGGCTAATGTGGACGCGCTGTATCGATGCGCTCATGCTCCAATAAAAATTCCTAACTGTCAGGGTGGTCAAATATTGGAATAAATTGCCAAGGGAGGTGGTGGAATCTCCCTCTCTGGAGATATTTAAGAACAGGTTAGACAGACATCTGTCAGGGATGGTGTAGACGGAGCTTGATCCTGCCTTGAGGGCAGGGGGCTGGACTCGATGACCTCTCGAGGTCCCTTCCAGTCCTATTTTTCTATGATTCTATGATTCTATGATTTAGAGGCACTGGGGAGTAATGACTCTGAGTGGCCCGAGGGAGGCGCTATTTCGAAATAGCAGCAGTGGCGCGTCCACACTTCCCCTATTCCAAAATAGCTCGTTCGGAAGAGGCGCGATCCCTCGTGGAATGCGGTTGACAGACGTCGGAACGAGCCGCCCGTCATGTCCGATTTATTTCGCAATAACGGAATTGCTGTGCCGACGCTCGCGTTGCTGTTTCGGAGGAACGGCTGCTGTGTTGACACACCTGGGCTTTGTCTCAGTGCAGGGGGTTGGACAGGCTGCCCTCTCCAGGTGCCTTTGTGCCCCACGTTTTAGAAGTCCCATGGCTGCTCTCGGTGCCCTGCTGTCTGGGGGAGCTGCAGGCCATGGGGTGAAGGGAAGAGGTAGGGGGAGTGGCTGGATTCAGCCCTTCTTCTCCGATCTAACTGGGGATGGAGGCCTGCCAGGGCCTCTCTGCACCAGCTCCTGGCCCATTCACCCTGCAGGGACTGCCGTGCTCACAGGCTCTGGGTTTTACAGTTTGGGGCATGTCTACACTACCCCGCTAGTTCAAACTAGGAGGGTAATGTATGCATACCGCACTTGCAAATGAAGCCCGGGATTTGAATTTCCCGGGCTTCATTTGCATAAGCGGGGAGCCGCCATTTTTTAATCCCCGCTTGTTCGAACCCCGTGCCGCGCGGCTACACGGGGCTCGAACTAGGTAGTTCGAAATAGGCTTCCTATTCCGAACTACCATTACTCCTCATTCCACGAGTACATAGTGTAGACATACCCTAGGTGAGGCCTAGATCAAGTGCTAACTGAGCTGTCCACAGCCCCATCAGCCTGGGCCTGTCCTCTCGCCTCCCAGGCAGGGAGGAAGGCCTGAGGGGGCTTCCCACCTACCCAGCCCCCTGTTCGCTGGATGGTTGGGCCATTGCTGGATCCCTGCCTATCATCTGGGGCAGGCTGCCCTTCTCGGGACAGGAGGGGCCCTGGCACAAACCGGGGAAGTGACACAAGCGCCTACATTTCTCAGCCCTGCATCCCATTGTTAACCTGACTTCATGGCCTTCTCTGCCCCGCTCCCCACACCACAAGGACAGCCATGTGGGAGCAGGGCTCTGCAGATAAGCGTGGGTAAAGAGCAGCTGTTGTATTGGCACATCACGCTGGCCTGCAACCACCCGGTTGTGACACTTCCCCCGTTTGTGCAAGGTCCCCTCCTGTTCTGAGAAGGGCAGCCTGCCCCAGACGATAGGCAGGGATCCAGTAATGGCCCAACCACCAACCGACAGCCAGCCCCACATTTCTGCCTTGCCATGCTGCTATGTGGCCAGGGAGGTGCAGGGCAGAGGTCGGGGATGCCAGCTCTGCCTCCAGGCTGCAAACCTGTCTAGGACAGAGCTTTATAGGAAGCCATGAGCCAGTGACAAATAGCCCTGAACGTGCCCCGTCCAATGGTGCAGACTCCAGGACCTCTCTTGGCAGCCGGGCGCAGGACTTGCCTTCCCTGTGAATTAGAACCTCTCCTCTGGTCTCTGGTCTCTGTCCTCGGCTGCAGACTCAGCCCGTTGCCTCTGCTCCTGTCCTCGGTTCACACGGAGACCAAGGGAACCTCTGCCCGCTCTAGCACCACCCTTTGCGTACGTGTGCGCAGGGTTTTCCGACTGCCACAGAAGAGGGGTTCAACCTCGGCCTGGTCTCCAGACAGGGGAGGCTGGGCAGTGCATGGACGTGGGCCCAGACAGCCGGGCCTGCCACGGATCTCACCTGCCCCAGATCCTCTGGAGCCAACTATCCTAGCTTGCCTCAGATACCCCTGGGGCCAGCCAGCCCAGCCCAGGCTGCATCCTGCTGGGCCCAGCCAACCCAGAGCCACTCAGGTCTGGAAAGGCAGGATTGTCTCTCAGCTCTCGCTATGCATTCCCAGGTTGTCCATTTACAGCTTGACCACTGGATTCTATTGGGCTGATCTCCATTTTGCCTTCCTGGAGAGCTCGGGTGGGGGATCCCGAGACTCTGGGGTGCTGATCATGGCCTGGCCGCTGCTCCGTGCTGGGACATCCAGGCCCCGTAAGCCAGGCTGTTTTGTCCAGGGCTGGGGCTGCATCTGGGCCCCCCTCCCTCCGAAGGCCCCACGTCTGGGTCACTGACACGAGCAAGCCCCGCCCTGACCCACGGCACTTGCCGAGGCAACGCGAGGGACCGTGTGGGTTTCGGGGGGCATAGGAGAGTGGAGCGTTGAACAGGGTAGGGGTCTTAACCTGCCGTGTAACAGGACTGGTGGGGGCTGCCCCATTGAACGAGAGGCCAGGCCAGAGATGCAGAGAGTGGATAGCTAGTGACCCCACTGGGACGGTATCTCTTCTTGCTTCCCATCTGCTGCCCTGTGTGCTCCATGGCGAGAAAACACACATAGAAATGTCAGGCTAGAAGGTACCTCGGGGACCCCCCAAGGCCACCTCCCTGCAGCAAACCCCTTGGCACATGAGGTAACCTTCTGGCAAAGCGCCCTAGGGTACCACTGTGGCAACGCTAACCCCCGGGAGACACCCTCCCCTCCTTGCCGCTAACCCAAACGGACATGCCGGCCTCACGCCCTATTCCTCAGAGGAAGCAGCATCTGGCGAGCTTCGGCTGACGAGCTCTCCTGGGAACGGGAGGGCAGCTGAAATACTCAGTTCGAGGCGCAAACATGCCCTTAGCTAGCCAGGAGAATGGTGCCACTCTTGGAGGTAGGGCCCCGACTCCAAGCTGGCTTGGCTTCCAGACAAGCGAGAGGCACTAGTAGAAAGGGACGGAGGCCGCTCTCGGGGAGGGGAAGCAGAGCAGAATTTGTGGCGCTCTCTGTGACTAGCTAGGACAACCCTTTGTGCTCCCATTGGCCAGGACCAGAAGGGTGCGTTTGGCTTCATTTCCGCTGTCAGTAGGTCTTCTCTCTCCGCCTCTTTTCTCCTTGCGATGGCAACAAAGCTCCGGGCGCCCATACAAATTTCCCCCAGTTGGTGGGATACTGTGCAGACCGGAGGCCTCTGCACTTCAGAAAGGGCAGTGAAAGCTCGGAGAAGAGCCACCCAAAAGCCCTAAGGTCTGGAGAACCTGGCTGGCAGTGAGACCCAAAGGAAACCTCCTGTTAGCTTCTCCGCGAGAAGGGTAAGAGAAGACTTGGTCATGAGCTGCAGGGAAAGGCAGATTTGGTAGGAGAGAGGGCTTGTAAGCAGACGGAGATGCAAGAAGTGGTAAGCGGAAGCTAAAGGCATTCAGGGTAGAAAGAAGACACAAGTTTTAGTTAAATATTAGAACAGAGGGGGAGCCGTGGGAGTCAGTAATGATAAAAAACATGAGCGGTCCTGTGGTACCTTAGAGGATAACAACCATAAACAACATACCGAAGGGGTCACCTCATCACAAAAAAGATATATAGGCATTGGAAAAGGCTATCAAAATAAAGAACTCAATAATAGTGGGGGATTTCAATTATCCCCATATCGACTGGGTGCATGTCACCTCAGGATGAGATGCAGAGACGACATTTCTCGATACTGTAAATGATTGCTTCTTGGAGCAGCTGATACAAGAACCCACAAGGGGAGAGAGAAAAAGGCATCTTTTAAAGAGCAGAAGTCAAATCCTAGTGAGGAAAATAGAAAGGCGCATAAACACTGCCAAATTAAATATAAAAATGTAATAAGAAAAGCCAAAAAGGAGTTTGAAGAACAGGTAGCCAAAAACTCCAAAGGTAATAACAAAATGTTTTTTAAGTGCATCAGAAGCAGGAAGCCTGCTAAGCAACCAGTGGGGCCCCTGGACGATTGAGATACAAAAGGACTCTTAAAGACGATAAAGTAATTGCAGAGAAACTCAATGAATTCTTTGCTTCCGTCTTCATGGCTGAGGATATTGGGAAGATTCCCAAAACTGACCTGTCATTTGTAGGTGACAAATCTAAGGAATTGTCACAGATTGAAGTGCTATTAGAGGAGGTTTTGGAATTACTTGAGAAACTTAACAGTAACAAGTCACCGGGACCAGATGGCATTCACAGTGGAACTATTAACTATGGTTTGTAACCTATCCTTTAAATCGGCTTCTGTACCCAGTGACTGGAAGATAGCTAATGTAATGACAATATTTTAAAAGGGCTCTAGAGGCAATCCCGGTAATTACAGACCGGTAAGTCTAATGTCAGTACCAGGCAAATTAGTTGAAGAAATAGTAAAGAATAAAATTGTCAGACACATAAAGAAGATAATTTGTTGGGCAAAAGTCAACATGGTTTCAGTAAAGGGAAATCAACTTTTGTTAGTCTATAAAGTGCTATCAGACCATTCGCTGTTTTTTAAGTTTAATCTATTAGAGTTCTTTGAAGGGGTCAACAAACATGTGGACAAGGGGGATCCAGTAGATATAGTGTACTTAGATTTCCAGAAAGCCTTTGACAAGGTCCCTCACCAAAGGCTCTTGTGTAAATTACATGGCCATGGGATAAGAGGGAAGGTCCTTTCTTGGATTGAGAACTGGTTAAAAGACAGGAAACAAAGAGTAGGAATAAATGGTAAATTTTCAGATTGGAGAGGGGTAACTAGCGGTGTACCCCAAGGGTCAGTCCTGGGACCAATCCTTTTCAACTTATTCATAAATGATCTGGAGAAAGGGGTAAGCAGTGACGTAGTAAAGTTTGCAGATGATACCAAACTGTTTAGGATAGTCAAGACAGAAGCAGACTGTGAGGGACTCCAAGAAGATCTCACCAAACTGAGTGATTGGGCAACAAAATGGCAAATGAAATTTAATGTGGATAAATGCAAAGTAATGCACATCGGGAAAAATAACCCCAACTATACGTACAGTATGATGGGGGCTAATTTGGCTACAACAAATCAGAAAAGGGATCTTGGAGTTATCGTGGACAGTTCTCTGAAAACTTCCACACAGTGTGCAGCGGCGGTCAAAAAGGCAAAAAATAGCAAACAGGTTTTAGGAATAATTAAAAAAGGGATAGAGAATAAGACCCAGAATATCTTACTGCCCCTGTATAAAACTATGGTACGCCCACATCTTGAAGACTGTGTATAGATGTGGTCTCCTCACCTCAAAAAAGATAAACTGGCATTAGAAAAGGTTCAGAGAAGGGCAACTAAAATGATTTGGGGTTTGGAACGGGTCCCATATGAGGAGAGATTAAAGAGACTGGGATTTTTCAGCTTGGAAAAGAGGAGACTAAGGGGGGATATGAGAGAGGTCTATAAAATCTTGAGTGGTTTGGAGAAAGTGAATAAGGAAAAATTATTTACTTCATTTGCATATCTTCTGCTGAAAAAAATCTTCAGTGTAGACATAGTCATAGAGTTGGAGGCTCTAGAAGTTGAATTAGTTTTATAGCTTCCATTTTCCTAATATCCAAGTCAATTGGTCTTGATGGGAATTGAGTATCTACCCCTGCTTAGCGGGCTTGCAAATTTGTCCTAAATTTTCAGGCTCAGTTGCATGTACTTCTGCATTTGTCAGGACGGTACATAAATGTCTTTCACGCCTTGTCTCCCTGGGTACCGGGTGCCTTCGTTCTCCGCCTCTGCCGTTGCACAAGGAAAATCAGACGGCCGTGACCGAGTTCGTCTTCGTGGGATTCTCCAGCCTGGGGGAGCTTCAGGGGCTGCTCTTCACGATGGTCCTGCTCATGTACATGGTGTCCCTGACGGGCAACGTGGTCATCACATCCGTCATTGCCACCAACCCAGCCCTCCACACACCCATGTACTTCTTCCTCACCAACCTGTCCCTGCTGGAGATCTTCTACACCACGGCCATCGTGCCCAAGATGCTGGCGAGCCTGGTGTCGGAGAACAGGAGGATCTCGCCGTGGGGCTGCGCCACTCAGATGTATTTTTTCACTCTCTTTGGCATCGCCGAGTGCAGCCTCCTGGCTTCCATGGCCTATGACCGCTACGTGGCCATCTGCCACCCGCTGCGCTACCCCCTCGTCATGAGCAAGGGGGCCTGCACCCAGCTGGCTGTGGCCTCCTGGACGGTGGGGATTCTGGTGGGCATTGGCCAGACTAGCTACGTATTTAGCCTGTCCTACTGCGGGCCCAACCGGATCAACCACTTCTTCTGCGACATCCCGCCCCTCCTGACGCTGGCCTGCGGGGACACCTCCCTGAATGTGCTGGCCGTCTACCTGGTGGCTCTCTTCTTCATCACCACCCCCTTCGCGCTCATCCTGGCCTCCTACCTCTGTATCCTCACCACCGTCCTCAGGATGCCGTCGGCGGAGGGGAGGCGCAAGGCCTTCTCCACCTGTTCCTCCCACCTCATTGTGGTGCTGCTCTTCTACGGCTCCGGCAGCGTCACCTACCTCCGGCCCAAGTCCAGCTACTCAATGGAGAGCGACAAGCTCCTTGCCCTCTTCTACACTGTGGTGACCTCCATGCTGAACCCCATAGTCTACAGCCTGAGGAACAAGGAAGTCAAGGAGGCCCTGAGGAGGACTCTGGCCAGGATGTCGTGCCCTCGGTGAATGTGGGGAGGGGCTCACTCAGGGTACATCTAAACTACATGGCTCCGTCAAGGGAGCCATGTAGATTTGTTGTTTTGGCAAAGGCAAATGAAGCCGCGATTTAAATGATCGCGGCTTCATTTACATATACATGGCTGCCGTGCTGAGCCGACAAAGAGCTGATCAGCTGTTTGTCCGCTCAGCGTGCTAGTCTGGACGCTCACCTGCCGACATCAAAGCCCTTTGTCGGCAGCCCCGGTAAACCTCATCCCATGAGGAAT